ATGTTCAGTGATGGTTTCAACTCTAATCTAAAATCTTTTTGGTAAAGACCTTAAGATTTTTTCACAGATTTTCTTATCACTAACCCTTTTTCCTAAGAGATGCAGTTCAGAAATTATTTCAAGAAAATTAGAATAAAAATCAGAAAAAGATTCATCTTCTTTCATCAGGATGTTCCCAAAGTTATGAGAAAGCATCTGAAATTTGGATAACTTCACTTTTGAAGTTCCTTCATGAGTAACCTACAAAATATCCCAAGCTTCTTTAGCAGTTTTACAATCAGAAATTCTAGCATATTCAGATGGAATAACAGAATTAATAATTGCATATAAAGTTTTGTTATTAGCATCATTACGCTCAGTTTCCATAGCAGTAAAAGCAAAAACATCTTTTAACTCTTTAACTTCTTTACCATCCACAATTTTATCTACTGTAGGTGGTGTATAGCCAGATTCTACTATTGCCCAAGTTTTACCAACATAATTTTGCAAACAAGCTTTCATCTTTGATTTCCAAAAATTATAATTATCTCCTTCTAACAAAGGACCATGTTGATAAGAATTGCCTTCTTTCAATGCATAAGACATGATTAAAAACCAATTTTTGTTAAATCAAAAACAAAACTTTCCAACAAGGATCAACTCAATGTATAGAGATTAGCTCTGATACCAATTTGTAAGTTAAACGCAGCTGAATGTTTTAGAAAGTTTTGATTATTTAAAACAGATCTGTGTCTTTTCCAACTTTACTTATTTTAGCAATTAAACAATTGATCACATGCAGATAAAATAAAGCAAAGTATAAAGTTAGATATGACACCAGGATTTTTAGTGAGGAAACCCCAGTTGATAAAATACGTCAACTGTTTGCATGGGAAAAACCTCGTGGACTGTGCAGTCCAAAGTAAACCGATCCACTATGCTTGAAACAAAGTACACTGAACTTTGACTCTGGCTCACACCCTATCGTTCTACCAAACACCAATTGCTGATAATCCTCTAGCTTTGCGACTCCCCGTCCAACAGCAACTTGACCTCAGGCTTATGCTTGATATTTGTAGAAAAGTAGCAGGTAGATTAAACAACACTCCTTGAATTCTCCAACCCTTTCAAAGTGTGATTGCTTTTACTTCTGTTCTTCAATTGTCTAAATTCGATGTAGAAGTAGATCTGCTTTTGTCTGATCGATGTAGATGCAACTATATGATTACGATCATGATTTGAACACCACAACTCTAAAATCACTATGTGAATCTGTGTGTGTGTTCTTGAAAGACAAACAGAAAATTCTCTAAGAATTTCTGAAACAAACAATCTTTCTAAGGTTTTTAAGAATGATAATTTGATAGTGCAAAAGTAGTGAATAAACCTATATGTATGATAAGGTTTGTATAGAGGTCTGCAAAGACCTATTCATTCTGAAAATAAAAGAAATTTCGTGCATAGGACTTGGAAGGAAAGTTGGATAAAAAAAGAATCAAATAGAATAAGAAAACTGAAAACCTGTTGCTGTTAGGACTTCTGGAACTGGTTCCCCAATCTTGGTACTGGTTCCCAAAGGACAAAATGGAGTTCTCGAATCCCAACTTCTGGAACCGGTTCCCAAATTCAGGTATCGATTCTCACTTGACAGAATCTAATTTGAACTAGGATTTTTTGTTTTTGGAAACTTTGGAAAATGTACCATATAGGTATTTGTGTCCTAAGTGGGAAACAATGTCCTGATATGTTATTTTATCATTTTCATTGATCAATAGTACTTTTCTCTTCTGAACAACTTTTTAATTCCGCAGTTGATGTCGATTCTGATATGGTAACTGAAATTACAACTCGACTAGGACTTGTTTTGTTATCGAAATATGCCAATTAAAAAAATATATCTCACAATCTTCCCCTTTGGCAATTTTGTGACAAAATCCTAAAAACAATTTATAATCTACCCAAAGCAGGAAAGCAAATTATAAATGTTTAAGGAAACAAGGAATTTTGTATCTCTGTTATGTTCAGCGCTTGGACAACATCTAACCTAAATTCCTACATATGGATCAAGTAAAACTACCAGTGAAAGTTTAATAAAACAAGTTAAAAACTTCCCCTGAATAAATTATTCAAATTTTTCCAAATTTTTTAGTTATGCTCCCCCTTAAAGTAATCATTGTTCTTCCCCTTTTTGGAACAAAAATTGATAAAGCAGAAAAAACAGTAATCAGTTTATTACATGTTAGCAGTAAAAAATAATAATAAAAAAAAATATCAAGTCATGACTATGTAAAAACTGAACAAAATGTGATGCATGTATGATATGAACGTAAAATCAATCATCAATATCTCCAGCAAACGGAACAATAGTAGTCAAAATGTCCTCATCACCACCATCAGTGTCACTACTATTATTATCCTCATCATCCTCTGCATCATTATCTGTCGCATTATCCTCATCTCTCTCGGCCTCTGGAACAAGTGACGGATCTAGAGAAGCTGGTCTGTTGACGTCCTCAGAAGTACTTCCCGTCTTCTGCTCTTTAAGAAATCTAACCTCTTCCTGTAGATCAAGAATAACATCCATCATGGCCTTCTGATTCTGAAGAATCAGTGAGTAAAGCAGATTAGCATCCTTTATGGTGAAATTCTATTTGGACGAAAAAATTTAAGTGCATGGTCTATTTCCCTTCTTGTTCATGCATACGAGAAGACATCAGTTGTCAATTTCTTAAGAGTGCATGGTCTATGTCCCTTCTTGTTTGATTTTGTCCTGCTATGGACGTTGTCATTTTTGGGTTCGTTTCTCCGTATAGGAGTTGTATGTGCCAGTGGATGAACGGACTTCCATAGAGTCGATCCCATCTTTGTTGTGAGTCTATGGTGAGGATTTGGTTGGGATTGGTGGACTTTGTTAGGGAAAATTAACTCCCTCCAACCCACTCAACGGTCGGCGGTTGTTAAGAGTTAAATCTCTCCTTCATCACACATAGCGGAAGCATCATCACATCACATCAACACAAGCTTATATGGAGATAACAATCACACATATTCATGCGCAACACAATATTTTACATGGTTCACCCAACTTTAGGGTTACGTCCATGGGAGAGAGATTTCATTATTATAAATTTAGAAAGAGAATATACAACCACATGTCAAAACCCCACTCACTCACTCATCATCTCTTATGAGGCTACATGTATATACTTAGGAATTACATATACGCTCCCCTCTCCTCACAATACTCACCCTTAAACCCCATACATCTTTTATCTCTTCTCTCTCTCTCTCTTGAAACCTCTCACACCTAATTCTATTTATAAAGTCTTCAAATCCAATTCCTTGTTGAACAAGTATTCCTCAACTTGCCTATAATGAGTTACCATAATGATAAAAACTCTAAAATAGAAACATAATGGGATACAATTTCTTCCACAAATTTTACCCTTCCAAAACGAAAAAGGAAACTAATTTTCTACACATAAATTTTGAGCCGCAAACCCAAAAATGTCCACCTTGGCTCAAAATTCAATCTTTACGCACTTCTCCATGGCTCCACCTCGAACAAGGATCTTTTCATAGCTCCACCTCAATTAAAGATTTCTCCACCTTAAATAAAGCACTATGATGAATTTGAGAAACACTATAACAATCTCCACCTTTTCTCAAATTCATCATTCTTTTTTTTTTTTCTTCCATCTTTTTTATCCATCCTATTGGTGTTCAATTGCTCATGCATGGCAACTCACCAATATTCAACTCATCTTTATCAATTGATTTTCTGGATTAAAACAACAAACCTCTCATCTTCACTCTTCATATTTCCCTTTGCTCTTTATCAGGCTTAGAGCTAACCCCTTCTTTCTTCACACCCCTTGTCCCATCTTGAGAACTAGCACTCACTCTTGGCTTGACCCCAAAACTTGTTCCTCGTGGGCTTCACCTCTATCACCTTCTTCATACCTTCGTGTCATCATCAACTCTGATTGAATCTCCATAGCATTTCATGATCATCCTCTACTCGAACAAATTTTGCACCAATTTTTTGCACTAATCTTCAAGACCATTCACAGGCTCTAACCCACCATCAGCTCTGATACCAATTGTTGGGAAAAAATAACTCCCTCTAACCCACTCAACGGTCGACTGTTGTTGAGAGTTAAATCCCTCATTTATCACACACAGCAGAAGTATCATCACATCATATCAACACAATTATATATGGAAATAAAAATCACATCCATTCACGTACAACACAATATTTTACATGATTCACCCAACTCTATCTAGGGTTACGTCCATGGGAGAGAGAGATTTCACTATTATGAATCAAGAAATAGAATATACAACCACATGTCAAAATCCCACTCACTCACTCATCATCTCTTATAAGGCTATATGTATACACTCGGGAATTACATATACTCTCCCCTCTTCTCACAACACTCACCCTTAAACCCATTACATCTTTTCTCTCTTCTCTCTCTCTCTCTAAACCTCTCACACCGATCTCTATTTATAGAGTCTTTAAACCTAATTCCTTATTGAACAAGTATTACTGAACTTGCCTACAATGAGTTAGCATAATGATTAAAACTCTAAAATAAAAACATAATGGAATACAATTTTCTCCGCAGCCTTCCAAAACGAAAAAGGAAACTAATTTTCTGTACATAAATTTTGAGCCGCAAACCCAACAACATACTTACCCCCGTGGAGGGTGGTAAAGTCCTTAGTTTTGGTGACGCTTATTCTGAATTTGGAATCATTTGAGTTTAGAGCGTGAACTACTTATGCCTTGCATGTTGGGGAAATTAGTTCCCTCCGGATTTGTTTTTCCCCCTGGTTACGTAATAACCTTGGATGTAGCAATTAAGTAGAAATTAAACCAGGGCTTGCATGAAACGTTTGTCTAGAATCTACAAAAGAGAAAGTGAAAAATGACTGGAGATAAGTGACTTTGAGTCCTTTTATATATACTATATTTTCAATAATAGTAGCTAGCTAACCGATGATGACAAGGCAACATAATTAAAAGGCTGATCACAAGGAAGAAAAGGAGAGGACTGGTGGTGCCTTCAGGTAGAGCTAGCTAGCAGCTGTTTAACATTCGGAAAATTAATTAATGGCTCCAGTAGGATTGCCTCCAGGTTTTCGATTTCATCCCACCGACGAAGAGCTCGTTAATTATTACCTCAAGAGGAAAATTCATGGACAACAGATTGAACTCGACATCATTCCTGAGGTTGACCTCTACAAGTGTGAGCCGTGGGAGTTAGCAGGTAGTGTGGGGTGTGTGTGTGTGTGTATATATATATATGTTAATTAAGCTAATTATGGTATTAATTACTTTGTTTTTGTTGTATTAATGGTGTTATACATTTATTGCATGTAGAGAAATCATTTTTGCCGAGTAGGGATCCGGAGTGGTATTTTTTTGGACCCCGGGATCGGAAGTACCCGAACGGATTCAGGACGAACAGAGCGACGAGAGCAGGGTACTGGAAGTCTACAGGGAAGGATCGAAAGGTTACATGCCAGAATCGAGCCATTGGAATGAAGAAGACACTGGTTTACTACAGAGGGCGGGCTCCTCAGGGAATTAGGACTGACTGGGTAATGCATGAATATCGCCTTGATGACAAGGAAACCGAGGACACAACTGGAATGCAGGTATCCCTATATAAATATATACTTCATAACTTCATCATATAGATAGATATATATAAATGTGATATATTTTGCATTTAAGCATTAATTGAGATTGGACTTATAGAACAAACTAAACATATATAGAATTAATTTAGAACATGGGCTTACAAAATGTCTAGACTACTACATAGTAACTGAATCTGGACTTCCACAACTCAAAATTACCGGATTAGATCGCTGGTTGTTTATAGGACGTCTAAGAATTTACCTTATACTTTTCTTTAGGTTTTTATCTTATACATACTCTTTCTTCCTCTTCTTCTTCTTCTTCTTCCCTTTTTTTTATTTTTATTTTTAATTTTTTTTAATTGTTTGGCCTGTGATTCTACCTTATACTTTTTTATATATCCCCTCTTTTACAGTCAAGAGAAAAGAAATTCATAGCTGATGGAAGCTTTAACATATATATATATACACACACTATATATATATAAAGTAGTGCTGACATATTCGTTACTTGCAGTATTAGACTGAGAGATCTTCACGTACAAAAGCTTTGGCTTCACTTTGCATGAGAATTTCCCCCTAATCAGCCAAAAGTACTATTCCCCTGATGATTGAATGGATCTCTAGCTTCTTCGCAACCAATCATCTGTGTGTATATATACAATAATATATATGCATATTGATCATACTCTGATTAGACTCTACAAATAAAGAAATCCCTTAGATCTAAATATTCAAGCCTAAAAGCAGTCACTTCACTTTCATGTTGTGAGGAGGTGTCGGTCACTTTTCACTTTATTCCCAAACACCACAATAAACCAATGGCAATCATAATAAGTAAGAATGCTCTTGCCACATTATATATGTGTGTGTGTGTCAGTTTCATATGGGTATATCTTTACATTGTAGAAACAAACAAAAACAGAAGGCTTTCAGAAAAGGGTAATCTCACTTGCAACCAACATGCACTCCACTTTCTTTTATTTATTTATTTTTATTTTTTTTTTCAGTTTCATATGGGTATATCTTTACATTGTAGAAACAAACAAAAACAGAAGGCTTTTAGAAAAGGGAAATCTCACTTGCAATCAACATGCACTCCACTTTTCTTTTTATTTTTATTTTTTGAAAAAAAAATAAAAAACAAAATTGTCACTTAAACACACACTTAAACTCCAGAATCTATATTACATGGACTCGGGTATGAGTGTCGAACATGGGTATGTATCCACGTGTTGGACACGAGTATGTATCCATGTGTCGAATGTGTCAAATTTCCAAATAGAAGGATACAAAGACACTGTTAAATATTCATTTTATTAATTATTTTATTTTATTTTCTAGAGTAAAGTAATATTTTTATCTAATATAATGTTCAATATAGGTATTTAACTCTTTTTAAAATAACAATATAATGTAATTAAATGATTAGATATGTCTTTTAAGTATATATCTAACCAAAAGTGTCAGATACATATCCTCTATCCATATACGAGGAATATGTGTTTAACACGGGTACTTCACTACTTTCGAAGAGTCCATATAATAAGTCCGGAATTGTTCCAAATAATACTCCTAGCTCTATTTTTTGGGGGTATCATTACCATATATTTTATTAAATATTTCAGGTGGAGTTGAAATGGAGAAAACAAATTCTATTGGAAATTCTTTGTCACCAATAATTTTAGTATGTTTAAGAAATTTTTTATTGCACGATTACATTTTTTTTTTTATTTTTTATAATGAAAATAAAATGACATGCATGTCGATGCCCAAAGGAGAGAAACATGAGAAATGAAGTGTGAGGAGAAACCTCCTTGTTACAGTGTCATTTTGTACTTGGACCTCGTTTCAAAAAAATAATTTATTTTTCTTTCCATTTTCATTTAATTTTTTATTGTTATATATTAAAAAAGATAACTAATCCAATCATGTCAAGACAAATCAGCATCGCAAGACAAGTACTGTTGTGATATTATTGACTAGCTTCAACTTTATTCTCTCTCCCCAAAAGAAAACAAATCATAGTATGCTTGTGTTTTCATATAGGTGAAGATATGAATTCACTAGAAGCATTCATGCACCACTTGAGATATATTACATATATATAATGTTGATTTGCAGGATACATACGCATTGTGTCGCGTGTTCAAGAAAAATGGAGCCTGTAGCTCTGAAATGGAAGAACAAGGGCAATGTAGTTTAACATTAATGGAGAATTCATCACAAAGTGCCATCAACGATCGATACGAGAACATGTCACCAGATGTTCCGGTAGCATCATCCTCACTTATGGAAGAAGACGATAAAGATGATTCTTGGATGCAGTTCATCACAGATGATGCTTGGTATTGTTCATCCAATGCTTCCTTGGGTAGCGAAGAGGTCTCACAACCCTCATTTACAAGTTAAAGTGTAACTAGCTAGTTGGAGAGTGGATTACGAATAATATGATTGGAATATATATTTATATTTATTTTTTTATAAAATAATATGCGCTGTTTTAAAATTAAGATGGTAAATCTTTTTTTGGTTCGTATGGCTGTGGTTTCTGTAGAGCCAATTTAACATGTTTCGGTCTTCTTTATTGAGGCTATAGGGTGTTATTTGTGGAATAAAGGGCATATATATATATATATAATGTATATATTTTTTTTTCTTTATTTTTTATTTTTTATTTTTTATTTTTTATTTTTTTGTGCGTGTGTGTCCTCTCTCAAGCTATTTTGCATGCATTTTTTTGGATCAATGTATTAGTTGCACTATGCGGAATGGATGTGGAAGTTTGTATTAAAAATAGCCTAAAAGGGGTAAATAAGTTTTACTTATTCCTTTATCCAATTTTTACTTTTTTTAATTTTGCCGAAATAAAACTAAAATCAAACTCACAAAGCAAAAATAAAGTGCAAATAAAGTAAATAAAGTTTGAGAGATGACATCCGAATTTTTAGCGAGGAAATCCCGATTAGTGAAAATCAACCAATCGTTATGGGAATAACTTTGGACACTCTGCCGTCTCGAGTAAAAATGATCCACTATATTTGAAACAAAGTATAACCTACTTTGACTCAGGCTTACACCCCTTCACTCTACCAATTAAGACTCAACTCACTGAACACCCCTGGTTTAAATAAGGATTATTAGTAGATCAACAACACTCCGTGAATGCCTTGACCCCTTCAAAGTGTGATCGAACTCATTTTCTTCAATTCTCAATCTGATGAAGAATAATTAAAATACTGTTTCTCGTAATCTCTAAACCCTTCAATTATGCTCCAATTAATTCCCATTAAATAGAGAATATCACCCTAAATTACTCCTGTGTTTATGAGTATGCTCTCAAAAATAAAATCAGAAAAATCAAATTGATTTTTTGAATAAAAAATATCTCTCAAACATTTCTCTCAATTAGAAAAATATAAATTTTTAAACCCTAAAAAATTTGGAGAGAAATAGAGTTTATATAGACTTAGAGAGTCCTTACAATAGGTAAAAATAGTTTTCAAAATCGTGTAAAGACTGCCCTACAAGTTTGGGTAAAAACACAAAACTAAAAAGTTACCAAAAATTGATTTTTCGCACATTTAGGCAAATGCAACTAGTTGAAAGTGTACCGGGTTGGATTTGAAGTACAACCGGTTGAAAAAATTCAAAGAGCCAATTTTTGCTCAGAAAATGCAACCGGTTCTAAAGTGAAGTGCAATTGGTTGGACTTTGCTGATAGCTATTAATTTCCAACCTAAGCTCTCATACCTAATTTTAAAGATACTCACAAGTGTTCTTCACTCACATACCTATTCTAAATGATGTTCTCATCAGATCAAAGTATGCTTGCACGTTATAACACTTATAGTTCTGCTTCCACCAACGAGACTAAAAAATAAATAGAAAATTACAACTCGATTGAACATGATTTGACACCGAAAATTTCAATTACAAAATTTACATCTCACACAATTTTGTAATTGAAATTTTCGGTGTGGTCACGTTTGGTTCCGATTCTAACTCAGACTCCAATCTCACCACTAATCAATTACTGAAAAGATTGAAGGTCGCTTCAATCAACAGTTCAATATGTTTGATACCAACTAATATCTCATTACTTATGGTGCCACTTCTATTTCTTTGCATTGATTATCTCTAGTGTTGACCTTGAATCTAAGGCTTTTGATGATCATAATTCATTAATGATGTTCTATGCGTACTACTGTCTACCTTGAGTAAAATTATAGATCTAAGCTATCATCAAGTTAAGACATTACACAGAAAAGAAAAATGAAGAAGCATTATGAAGGCATGAGAAAAAGTCAAAAGAGTGAAGACTCAAAGATAAGTCATCAACATCTCATCAAATGGGATTAGCTAGGATGGTGAGCGTTTTAGGAAACCTTGTTAAAGCATGTATGAACATCTTGAAGCTCACACTCTCAAAATAATGCATAGAGATTCATTCATTAAGGTTAAGGATCATTAGACTAGGTTTAAACATCATCAAAACATGCTCCCGGAATTTAAGTTCCATTTTGGTCGACTGAAATGGAAGGATAATTTAAACCGGTCGACCAGTTCTATCAATGAGTCTGAATCATAGCTTCTATGGTATTTCGGTTTACTGAAATATAGGACTAACTCAGTTTGGTTTACCGAACTAAGAAAATGAAAAGTTTCTCAAAAAGTTTCAGACGACCAAAACTAAGGAGCCAAATGAATCGGCTCGTCCGATTCTCACAGAATGTTTTAGAACAAAGGACGAAAGAGTTTCGGTCGACCGAAACAAAAGAAAGAATCCTTTGGTCTATCGAAATAAGTATAATGGCCAACCTTAAATAGTTTCGGTCGACCGAACCTCAAGAGTGTTTTATTTCGGACAACCGAGCCAGCGAGAATTTTAATTTTGAACGGCCATTTTTCCTCAAAGTGTGTGTCCAACAGCTTGAATACATATCAGATACATTTGAAAGTCTATATAATGACTTTGTGGTCTTAATAAAAAGGTATTGCATTCATTGAGAAACATATCTTTGCAATCTTATAACCTTTTTATCATCATACACATACTTCATATCTTCGAAGAGTATTGAGCTTCAATTTATTCATACATACTCTAGAGTGAGCTGAATCTTGTACTTTAGATCTAAGAGAGATCATCTTGTACTTCAACAATCTTATTCAACTCTTGTAAGGGCTGGTGTAGCCCAAGGAAGACTAAGAGAAGGTGTTTCTCTTAGCACTTAGAAGCAAAGAAGGGCTTCTTGTAAAAGGTTTGCTCTCCATCCGTAAAGAGGTGCCATAGTGGATTGGGAAGTCTCAAGAGGGGTCTTGAGCCGAGGAGTAGGAGTTTCCAAACCTCGCTAAAATCGCCGAGTACTTGTTTACAATCTCTCTTTTTATCTCTTATATTTATTGCTTCACGTTCTTTTGAATTTTTTTCTTGATAATTGCTGATAAGTGTAACTTAGACTTCAAATTGCTTTATTAAATTATTATTGAGAAATTTACTTTGCTATTGCACATCAATTGAAATTGAAATTTGACCATTGTTTGGTAAGACTCTATTTAACCCCCCCTCTAGAGTCATTAATTGGGCAACAATTGGTATCAAAGCCTAATCTCTAAAAGGCTTAAGTGTATTAGAGAACGATCATGGCAAACTTGAATGGTCACTTTCACCAAGAAGGTCAATCTAATTCTAGACCTCCTTGGTTCGATATAATAGACTATAGTTATTGAAAAAATAGAATGATAGACTTTATTCAATCTATAGACTATCAAATTTGATTAGTTATAGTCAATGGACCCTTTGTTCCAATGAAAGTTGTTGAGTCAAGAAGTGTCCCCAAAACTGAAGCTGAATGGGACATCAAGGATTACAAACTCATTTCCCTAAATGTTAAAGCCAAAGTTAATCTGAATTATGCCATAAGCCCTAATGAATACAATAGAGTCTCCACTTGTACCATGACTAAAGAAATCGGGGATAAACTTCAGATTACTTAGGAAGGGACATCACAAGTTAAGGAATCCAAAATTGACATTCTTATGCATCAATATGAACTTTTTCGTTTGAATGAAAATGAGTCTATTAGTGCAATGTTTGTAAGATTCACTGACATGATAAATGGCTTAAAGCATCTTAATAGAACTATTACTAACTTTGATCTTACAAGGAAAATTCTAAGAAGCTTACCTGAAAAATGGGATGCAAAAGCCATAGCTATTAAGGAGGCTTACAATCTCAACACACTTGAGCTGGATGAACTTCTTGGCTCTCTTCTAACATGGGTGATCACTTTAAAAGATAGAGAAGGAGATCATCATCAAAAGAAAGAAATCGCTCTTAAATCTTCTCAATTGCGGACAACGAAAGTGAAAATGATGATCTAGCTCTTATTACTCAATCCTTCAAAAGATTTCTTCATAGAAAGAAATTCAACAAGGGAAAATTCAAAAAGGGTGAATCATCTAATGAACAAAGCAAACGAGACTCTCCTACCTATTTTCATTGCGAAAAACCGGGACATTTCAAAGCTGATTGTCTTGCTTATAAAGAGAAAAGAAAAAGAGAAGAGCAATGCAAGCCACTTCGGAATATGATGACTCAAACGGTTCCGAAAGTGACGAGGAAAAGGCTATTTTTTGTCTCATGGCAAACAGGGATGAGGTAAACTCTAATTTTGACTCTTCATCTGAATGTGAAATGTCTTATGATGATTTGGTTGATGCTTATAATGGCCTACTTGATGGCTTTAGAGAATTGCATGATGAACTAGGTAAAATGGTCAAAAAATATGCTTCTCAAAGAAGAGAAAAGCTTATCATTGAAAACAAACTTCAAACTCTTCAAAATGAAAATGAATCCTTGAAATTAATTATTGAAGACCAAACTAATGATCTAGCAAAGTTCACTCAAGGAACAAAAAATCTAGAACTCATGTTAGGTGCTCAAAGGAGTGTCTTTAATAAAAATGGACTAGGATTTGATCCTTTTGATAAAAAGGCATGCCTATTGAAAAAGAGAGAGCCTTTGGCTAATCATTTTGTTAAAAGTATGAACACATATTCTAAATGCAACTATTGTAAAAGATTGGGTCATCTTATTTAAGATTGCTAAAAAAGAAGGCCGAAAATTTTTAAGAAGTGGGTTCCCAAAGGAACATACGTGCTTCTAGCTAACTCATACGGACCCAACAACATTTGGGTACCAAGTGAAGACTATTTGAAATCTCTCTTGTAGGATAAATTAAATACCTCCACATCCTTTAAGGACAAATGGTTTCTAGATAGCGGATGCTCAAGACATATGATGGGTGACCGCACAAAATTCTCTTCTTTAAAGACATTCAACAGAGGAAACATCACTTTTGGAGACAACTCTAAAGGGAAGGTAATTGGCATTGGAATCATAGGTATTTTTTCCTCCTTATCTATTGAACATGTCTTGCTTGTTGAAGGTTTAAAGCATAATCTATTTAATGTTAGTCAACTTTGTGATAATGGATTTGATGTGATTTTTAAATCAGATAAATTCATCGTTAAAAGAAATGAATTTCAAATATTTTGTGCTCCCAGAAGTGGTAATGTTTATACTTTGCTTTTAGGAGAACTTCGTGATCAAGATGTTAAATGCTTTATGTCATCAAATGAAAATAGTTGGTTGTGGCATAGACGGTTAGGTCATGCTAGCATGGATTTAATCTCAAGATTGTCTAAAAATGAACTAGTCAAAGGTCTCCCTAAGACAAATTTCTGAAAAGACAAACCATGTAGTGCTTGCCAAATTGGTAAGCAAATCAAGTCCTCCTTCAAAAGGAAAAAGGATATAACCACTTCAAAACCATTTGAATTGATTCACATAGACCTTTTTGGATCGGAGAAAATTGCTAGTCTTGGTGGTAAACTTTATACCTTTGTGATT